TCCTATGCAACTTTCCCTGTCTTATGTGTTATACTTCTCGCAAGTCTCTGATGAGCTGAGGTAGAAAAACAGAGCATTCAGAGGGATGGAGATCTAAGCAAGCGTATGTTTAATCTACAACAACTCCCCTGGTCCTTGGGGACTAAGGCGGGACTCCAGGGCCCCAGTCCTCTGAAGTTTGTAACATTTGAAATGGGTATATCCCTCTGTCACGGGATGGTGAAATGACTACGCTGATGATACACAGCATCATCTCCTCCCCCAGTCCACAGTCTGTTTCATGGCTGCATCCAAGAGCCCAGATTTCTCCTGAAAGTCCAAGAAAGTCCAGGCTTCATAGGTCAATGGACTGAGGCTAAGTAGTCTATTGAGTGTCTGCATAAGAGGAAATCTAACAGGACTTCAGTGGATAAAACAAAATCATTTTTATGCCCAGAAAAAATACATAGACTTTATCCAGCCTATAAAAATCTCATTCATGGAGAATACAAAGCAAAGATGAGCTAAAATCAGGCTTTTTTCAATAAATTATTTAAATAGTAGATGGCAATGAATGTGCCTACATAAACTATGCCAACATACAGCACCTGTGGCATTTATTTTAATGATTAATTTAAAGCCTATCTCTTGGACATTTAATTCAGAAATGTTTTCTTTCTATCCACCCCAGTTTTATGTTACCATTAAAAACACATGGTAATGCAACTTAGCATACAGAGAGACATACAAAGGTGTGCACTCCATGCCATCACTCTTTTGCCATCACTCTGAGCCCATAAAAATGGCAGAGCCAAAGGCATCAGCTCCAGTGTTTGGGCTGATCACAAGTCTGTATAACTATGCCAGGAATTTTTTGCTGCTTTAACTGCATAAAGAATCTGCAGAATTCAGTTCAGATTCTCACACTTTAATGAAGAGTTATGTGCTTTCAGATTATTTGTCTATACAATCACCAGTGCATGTATCACAGTCATAATGTGGAAAAGCACTTTATCCCCTATTTTAGTGTTTTGCTGAAGAAATGTACTGTGCATAATTGGAAAAATGGTAAATGTCCGGACAGAATTCATGCAGTAGCACTACTAACAATCAGAAGTATACTAAAAGGCAATGCAAATAAAAAGCAACAATTTGCCTGTGATTTCCAAGTAGTAAAATCTGCTGACCCTTTAACGATAACCACGATAGCACTGCAATAGAGCCTAAAATTACTAAAGCATTATATTATAATTAATAGATTAACCTTATCATCAGTGTTATTAGCTTATCATCTTTTCCCTTCAGATTGATTTCTGAAGTCCCAGCTGCCTCACCAATCTTTACACATCTAAAGCCAACATTCAGAGAATGAGAGACAAAGTACATCGGGCATAATGTACGGGAGATACAGGTGACAGGGGCCTGGATAATGAAATTACAAAAATGAGTGGTTCATAAAAGTAAATGGGGATTCCGGCATGCCCTCCATCTACTAAGGACAAATCTGACAGTATTTCATGGCAACAAATTCTAAGATGACAAAGAAAGTTCTTTTTTTACATAATCCACAATTTGTGGAACTCTTTCCAATAAATATTATTAATACTAAAAGCTAAGAAGGATTTTTAAAAGCATTTGATACTTATGTGAGTACATTTCCAGTTACAAGGAGTAAGGTATTAAAAGAAAGAATTATAGCAAGCTTCAGAGCATAAGCCAAAATTAACTGATGTACTTTAGAAAAAAGTTACTCTTCTGCATAAACTAATCCATAACTCCCAATAACTATACAAGGTTCTTTCATCTGGCACTGGTTCTTGATCTTTATAGCAAAAATTAAGACCACCTAACAAAAATTAACACCAAGAACAGAGTTATAAAGCTGTGGGTATATCAGTGCTATTTATTTGGCAGTTCAGCATTGCTCTTCTACCTTATGTAAACAGTTTCTGATATTTACCCAGAGGCTCAATGCCTTTGATACAGACCAGAGGTATGCCTTTTGAGAAACAAGAGAAATACAGTGCAGCCACTTTATTTCTTTGTGATCTACTTTATGGAAATATATTTCCTAATCCAGTTCTCAGTGTGACTATGTATTTTGAAAGATAAACATACCTATTGTTGTGATGACTGTTCCAGCAAAGAAAAAGGCACTTCCAAGGTCCCAATGACTGCTGTTGTTAGAGGAATTTCCTATGGGACTGACTCCAGCGTTATCAGCGTCAATAGCATGCTACAAAGAAAGAGGTAACAGATCAGCCTTATGCGTACCTTATCACGTGCTATATAAGTTGATAGGCTCCAAAGGGAAATCGCTAGGACCACTAGCTTAGATTTACACTTTTTCGGTCCTGCTCAAAGTACAGTAGCATCCTCTGTACACAAGATCTGAATACATGACTGAAATAAATAGATACTAAAGTAGATGATTAAGATAGTTGAGATAATAAAGATACAGTGTGTAGACAAATGAGAAAAGATACAAAGAGTTGGGAAGCAGAGGACTGATAACACAAAAGAAATCCATAAATATTGTTCCTATGCCAATAACTGCCCAGGAAAAAATTTCCTAATGGGAAAAGCTGATCTTAGAAGCAGCGAGATGGGTGGTAAAAACAAATAATATTCATGAAGTCAATTGAAGCTAGTCAGCCAAAGATTTTAATTCCCAGGCAATTAGTAATTGATGTAGTTATTTATATTTTGTGCTAAGTAGAAATTATTTATTTATTTATATCCCATTTGAAACAAACAAATAGAATAACTATGGAAATAGCACGGGACAAGTCTGCGATCAGCCAGGACTTCCTAGTTGCCATCCTGGACATGATCACATGTCTACCACTACAGCATGGTACAGAGACCCCCAGCTAGTGCATGAATGAACTAAACCCAGAACAGAAGGTGAGGTAGATATACTACTTCCAGGTCACTGTCCTATATCTCACACAGCACAGGATCAAACCAGACAGATATGTCAGCTAGCTGAAAGCATTCTTGGGGATTTCTAAAAAGGTATCACATAGCATCATGCGGACATACACATATGCCTTTCACTGCAGCTTTCACTGTACAAAGCATGGCAAGCTAAAGTCATCTGCCTCCAAAATGCAGAACACAAATCTCCCATCAGTACCTAGCACATTCAGCTGGATTGCTCTAAGTTCGCTTTGGAGATGCCCTGTAACACATATACTCTAGTTGTTTGTAAATCTCATGCAATCTACTGCCTGTCATAGAGAAATTCAGATCTATCACTCTGGAACACTATCTAAAATAACTGTTTTATACAGTAAACCGCTCCTTCCCAAATGTTCCCAACTGCGACTCATTTCCAAAGAATTACAGCAAATGAATCCAGCTTCCCTCTTTCTACCTCTTACCACTTCCAGCTCTTCGTCTCTTTTTCTTTTTGTTTTTGAGATCTACAGACATCTGTTCTGCTCTCTTCCCACTTCATGTTACTGTTATCATCACGTCAATCCATCACTGCCAGAATGCCTCTTCTTCCTCTTTCCCCTCTTACTCTGATATCTGTTCCTCCCCCTAAATATTGCCTCTAGTCTTTAGTCTTGGCAATTTCAGTGAACCTATTGCCAGGTCCAACAGGAGAGGTGAAGTGCTGCTTTTAAGTCCTCTATTTTTGTTCAACACAGAATCCCCACCTATCACAACAACTTCTCATTTGACTTTTCTTATGTCATTATCTTAGCATTGTCTCTCTTTTCCTCTGACTCTATGATATGTGAATTGTCACTCTGTGATTTTTGTTCCAGTTTTTTCTGTACTGTCTATATGCAACCCAAGGTTGGCTATTCCATCCTACTATTGCCCTGCTTCTAGTCTGTCCAGATTGTCCAGATTTCTCTCCTGATCTCCTCTATAATCTCATGTTCTGTTGTGCTTTTAACATTGACTTTCATGTGCATAGACTAGTTTTAAGACTTCTATCCATGGCTTTCATGATACCTTTCTGTCCTCATTCACCTTCTTTCTTTGATGGTTTATTTAATCACTTTTTTTCTTTTCTTCACCTTCCACTTTGCACTTTTTCTCACACATTTTTGCCTATGTCTCCAAACGTACTCCATCTCACAGGTTCTTCTGTCACTTTTTTTCCCTGCATGCCTTACAAATCTTGCTCTCTACAACTGACCGTTTCCCTCAGTATAGCCTCATATATTCACTTGTCTCTGTGATATCTTTCTTACAACTTTCTGGCTAAGACATACATGCATATTTATTCAGTTAAGCTTAAACTTAGCTCTTTCTCAAATTCTTTTCTAACTTTTTCCGTTCTCTTGGTAGTCAGCATGTAATCTAAGAGTCACATTTAACACTACCCATTCTTTCTCCCTCATCTTTCTCAGCTTCCACAACCACATCTTGCAAGTTTATCCGATACATTTCTCACATCTAGCTTTTTTTCTGGCTACATAATAAAACTCAGAAGCACTACTTCTTCAGCGTTCCATTTGATTACTGTAACATCCCTAACAGGCTCATCATTGTTCCCCTGTTGATACAAAAACAAAGCTACTTGATCCAACTCCATTGCTTTTTCTCTAAGAAATTCTTTTCCTCCCATGTTGTCCACTGTGTAATTTTCACATATTCTTGTGTTCTTATCTTTCTACCCAAATCCCTCTCTCCTGTTACTTTATTCTAATTTCCCCATGCTTTCTCTCTCATGATTATGCTTGTATTTTCCTCCACAACTATTATTTGCTGTAGAATACTCTGCCCAGGTTGCCCATAGCAAAAACTCTTCATTCCCAACTGTTTGAGAAAATTGATTTCTCCTACCAAAGTTCCAAAGAAATTATATACATTTCTTCAACAGTTCTTCTTATGGAGTGAAAATATTAAGAGGCCTAAAGAAACAAATGTGGATTCATTTGCAAAGGAGGAGGACATTTATATGTATATAAGAACAAAAATAAATATAACTAACCACATATAACATTACCCTGACCAGTTCTCTTGGAAGAAAGATTCATGTTTTGAAATGAGCTTTCTTGAGTAAGCTGAATCTAGATTTTGCAGAAGAGATGTCAGAGATTAGGACTGGAATAAGGGTCTAGATCAAGGGAATGCTGAATGTCTCGACGTATCACAGGACTGACAAGAAGGGGGCACACACAAGCTCAGGTACAGCAGTGCAAAGTCATCTTAATCCAGCATGAAAGATCACCAGGAAGATAGAACTGAAGCAGCCGAAAAATATATTTTATTTCCATTTAGCTAGTTGCAGCTAATCACCTCCCCAACTATTAATTAATCATCACATGGCTCCACAAACACCAGTGCCAGCCCAGGGGAAGGAGTGGGAGGAGAAGAGATGCAGCGGCAAGAAGAGAAGTCAGGTGTGGCTAAGCAGATGAGTACATAACAGCCCTTTTCACAATAGTGCTCCTCTATGCCAGGCTAAGCTGATCCTGGACTTAGAGCGTGAGCAAACTCCAAGCTAGACTGGTTGTATTTCATGAAGGCACAAAGCCAGAGTTCTTCCACACCTGTCTACGCTTCAAGAAATAGGGATAAAAAGAAAGGAAGCATTTAGGACCAAACCCTTTGAAAGGACTTCTGCACTGTACAGCTAGTCGCTGGCTTTTCATGCTGTGAAAGCTGAGATCATTTGTTTGTTTACTCAGAAGAGTGTAAATCAGCATAACAGATAGGTTGCCTGTTTGAATAGGCCATGACACACTGTCAGCTACCTTAGCATGTTATTTCTGCCAAGGAATGCTGGTTGCCTTCCCTTTGAGTGTGTAAATGTCATCAGGCTAATTACAACACTTGGGGCACATCTGGAACTACACAGGTTAGCCAGTCTGTGAGGGACAAGCACTAACTCCCCTCTGGAAGCCCTACTAAGCTGGTGAAGTGAAGGAGAGTCCCATTGCCACAGGTAGCTTTGAGCCTCTCAGGCTCTCATCCAGCAAAAATCCATTTTTCTTTAAAGTGTGACTGACATCATTCATTTATAAATATCCAACTATCCCAATGCTCTCTCTTGAATACATAGTATTTTGTATGCAGCAGTGGATGCACTAGGAGGACAGATGGGGGCAGTAAGAGGAAAGCAGCCCTGATGTGTTGGGCAGACTTACCCTTACCATCACCACCTCAACAGCCCCACCTATAAAAATGTATCCTGATAGATGAAACCAGACAAAAAGGCCGCTAACAAAGGCAAGACTCTCCCAGTTCATACAGACCATAAGGATTTACGACAGTTTCCCATCTGTGAAAGTTTAGGCAGGCTTTGCAGCACGACCTGAAGATATGCATCCCCAGGTTATCTTGGAGCAGGGAAAGAATCAATTTCCAGAGTGCTAACAGCTCTGTCAGCAAACCTTCCCTATGTAAGACATTTTCTTTTGAAAAATTTCAGGGCAAGCAGTGACTTGGAATATCTCAAAATGATGAAATGCTCTTTCTTCCCATTCAAGAAATGGATGTGTTCTAAAGCCAATATGCAGATGGCAGTGAGGCAAATAACAAAACTATCAAAAGTAAATCCAAGAATTCAATTTTTAAAAAATATATATACTTCTGATCACAAATACTAGTTTGGTACCCGAGAGGTAGTGGAGTCTCCTTCGCTGGAGATATTCAAAACCCGTCTGGATATGATCCTGGGCAATATGCTCTAGAGGACCCTGCTTGAGGGTTGAGACCCTCAACCCTCCCTGGGTCCAACCAGGGAGGTTGGACTAGATGATCTCCAGAGGTCCCTTCCAAGCTAAACTGTTCTGTGTGATTCTGTGTGATATAGGACTTAAAGTTCAAAGAACTGTTTGCTAGGTTTGTCTTGGGGACTAACTTGCCTCATCAGCTCTTAAGAGTTCCTCCCCAAAACAGAGGATGGAATCAATATCTCTTATCTATTGATTACATGAAGGATATTCTCCTTATGCCTGATAGAAAATACCAGGGTTTAACTCTGTCAAGGCCTGGAGCACATTTCTCTTCTAGCAGTTCAGCTGGTTGAGTGCAAGATCAGCTCCTTCAATGATATGAGCTGTTGTGAAGAAAGCTATAAGTGAGACTGCCTCTCCTTTGTCTTGGGAGTTGCTTTTAAGCTGAGGCTTCACCGCTGGCCCCTGTGTATGCTACACCACAGCTGTGCAGCAGCTACATCTACACCTGGTTGCCTGCCTCCACGAGTCTGGCCCTGAACTGGATCTGCCAGCTCAGCTTCCCAGCTTGACCTCGGACGTGCCTCAT